TTCAGAAACATGTACTTGACAGTGTAGCTGTGTAGCTTGACCGTAAAGAAGGAAAAGAGAAAGAGTTGGAAGCAACTGGAGTAAACCTTAAGAGAACAAAGTGCAGGAAAACGCTATTCTCCAGTTCCAGACGGACAAATAATTTTTTGTTGGTGATTGCGATGAGGAGTAGTCTTCTACACTGCAGTATGGACGACTTTTCAAAGGTAAACGAAGTAAAGAATCAAAGTAGTGAGTTCTTATCCGAGCGGACACGTTGACGTTCGATGTCCCCGTGAAAAAAAAAAAACATATCAGTGATTAAAAACATTGCCTTGATGCTGTTGCGAAAGCGATTTATAAATAAATAATTCTACGCTACTTGACAGGCCGTTGTCACTTTGTAATCTGCGGCATGTTTGCGGTGACAGTTTTCACGCTTTGCGGAGTCCCGGGGTTTCCGGGGTGGAAATGAAAATTTGTAAGGGATGGTTGCAAGCTCTCCTTTCTTCGGCCCCTGACTCGCGCGTTCTCGCGAGGCTCGCTTCGCTTGCCCAAATAGGAGAGCTTGCTCGCAGGCTAGAGTCCCTCAGGATAGGCCATTTCCGAGTTACAAAAACCCCCACTTTCAAAACGAGTGCAAAACCTTTCTTTCTTTGCATGAAAGTGAAAAAACACATTTTCATATCAATGGCTTCACACTTAGCCTCGCTTTGAAACAGTGGCTTGGGGCAACCCTGAAAGGGCCTATTGTCTTTCGTGCAAGCATGTTAAGTGTGAGGGAATAGGCCAATTCCGAGTTCCCCCGGGCCTCTTTTTCAAAACGAGGGTAGGCGCTCAGCCTTTGATACGGAAATCATTGTTCTTTCTCATGCAAATAAAACTTATTCTCACAAGAAACGTTGTGCACCTAGCCTCATTTTGAAAGAGAAGATTTTTGGAACTCGGAAGTGGCCTATTAAGAGGCAAACGCGCGGGAGCTAATATAGAGAAGACGGAATATGGGAATGAACAACTGGGGCCTGGACCCAAACAATTATATGAATCAGTGTTTTTTATTAGAAACGAGGAAAAGTAAGCAAGCAGTTGAATTAAAGTAAATAAATCTTTAAGTATCCTTACCCAGTGTGGCCATTTCCCACAGAAGTACGCCGTAGGACCAGCTATAAAAGAAAGCAACAAAATCGGTTACTGTGAGCGATACAGTCAGATGGTCAAGACTAAGAAGATTTTGTGGAGGGGCATTCATGCTTTGCCTTTTCTAGGTTAGTTTTACAGAGGCCTTCGAAATCCTACTAATGTAAATCAGCTGGCAAAATTTGAACCCAGACTTTGCTATAATGCTATGGCGTTCGAGAACTTATAAAGATATTCCACGAAAATTTTACGTATACGTTGTCCGGGCAACCTCGTCCCCAGGGCTTTTTCCTTAAAAAATGGGTGGGGCGTCCCACCCATTTTTTAAGGGAAAAGTCCTGGGGACGAGGTCGGTCGTCGGGGATGAAAAGGTCAGTTCGAAGAAGACTATTAAAAGTAAGTTAATCTATACGAGACTCATACGATGAGATCTATAGTCTAGCGTTAAATTGAAAGTCTTATTCTACTCACACATCACTCTTGATGGTAAAGGTGCCTTGATAAAGTGATTCTGGAGCCATCCATTTGATGGGAAGTTTCTTACACCTTCCTGAGCTATTCACATCTTCATAGATTTGTCGCATCAACCCAAAGTCAGACACTTTCACCCGATTGTCACGGCCAACAAGGACGTTACGAGCTGCAAGGTCTCTATGAACAAGGTTTTTTTCGGCAAGATGATTCTAATTACAAAGGTAGAGAAAGGGAAATCAAATTTTAGCTGCACATAATAATAGCTTACTAAATCAAGGAAGAGCCGTCATTTCAGACACCAACACTTTGTACAAGCCAAACTTCTTATACAGAATTCTTCCAAAATCCCTTTGTACCCAGATCAAAGAACACCAATCCCGTGAAACGTCTGCTGTTTTTGAACACTGCCGAGCAACGGCGGTCGCAACATCAACCCACACAATGTTAAAGTTCTATCTGACAAAAATAACACCATCACGGAAACCCGAATTTAGAAAACCCTCTGTGAATAGGGACGAGGGACTGGACCTCCCAGCCATCTAAAATCCTCTCCTTGGGGAGCATAACAACCTTCCGGTACATAACCTGGTATTTTACATTTCTGATGAAATTCGAACAATTCGATCGAAATATTCGATTTTATCTTTAACTTGTTGCTCTGAGTTTTGAAATTTTGTAGAATAAATAATCACGGGATAATCAACGCGATTTTAGTTGGGCCATAGTTATTAAATTGGAATGGTTGTTAAGCCCTTAACACTCTTTGTTATACGTTTTTGTTAGTCTTTCTGGACCTGACCGTGCACAGTGCTCAATCGCATTCCTATAACTTTGAACTTACTGACCAATAGAAACTTCCCATTAATTTATTCAAAACAACAAAAAACAAAAACAAAGGATTGTGCACGGTCAGGAAGCTTCTAACGTAAACTGCCGCACTGTTGTTTTCAACTTTAATATTTGGCGGCGTTTCAACCAGTCTCCTCTACTAACTATGGTCAGCGAATTAAAATGCGCCAATAACTTTTAACACGAAAAGTCTGACGTCTGATCTGCAATTTTCCCATAATGTTTTGTATGACGATGGTTGAGTTGTTTCTCAGTCCTCTTAAGTTGTTGTCCATCGTACAATCGCGGTTTCCTGTCCACTAGTATTTTCAGTGTTTTAAAAGTCACGCCTAGGTACTTGAATCATGTCTTTATTTTCGATCGAGGTTTTCGAATTAAGTCGGCTTCATGCCACGAGGGTACATCAAGGGAATATATGTGAATGTGTAAAAATGTGGAAAGAGGGTAGGCTATTCTGGAAGAAAACCAAGAGCTCAAGGAACCGAAATGGGCGTAAAACAGAGTGTTGGCAGATCGTGCGATTGCTTTCAAGATACCAAGACTCCAGGAAAAACTCATTTCCTAAAACTCGTCTTTTGCCGATTTTTTCACCCGATTTAATTTTACGGCATTTTATGGCCGGATTTGGCTGTTTTGCGCTCAAAAGTGGTTTGTCGGAAATCCTGGTACTTTTCTTAATGGCAGGTAGATTTCGGTAAAGAAATTCTACTTTCTCAATTTGCTCCATGCAGTTCGCCTCTGAAATCAGTGTCCATTTTTAAGTTGGATATGATAAAATGTAAACAAATACAGTAGCTACCATTCCCCTCGCTATTTGCCATGCAAATTTAAAGAGCTGTTGAGTAGAAAAGCTTTCCTCCTCGTCATGTGGATCCTCCTCGAGACTTTCACTTGAAGGCAGCTTCGAGACAGTGTGCTGACTTTCAACGGGTGGGTTGTTTGTCATGTTCAACTGTTCTTTTGTGGACTCTTTCAGTCCCTTATCCTAAATGCACAAATAGTGTAAAACATGTCAAGAAGGGTCTAGAATGGAAAACAACCCGTATTTTTGTGTAGATCAGGAAAACGCGGGGTGCGGCTAAACGAAAGGTCTGAATGGACGCCTCTCAGCCGTGTGAGGCTCGCTTCTCGAGAGAATCTTACGCCGCGAGTTCGTGCCTTTGACGACTGTTTTGTAGTCTGAGATGGGTCAAATGGACATGAAAATTGAGAAAAAATGTTTGCTTATAAACATCAGTAGATTATTTTGTAGTCAATAAATTGCACGGCTGAATAACGAAGACGTAAAAAGAATTGGAAAATAGTAAATCTGTTTATCACTACAGGAGCCATGGGAGTAGGAGACCAGTCGAACCTGGACCATCTGCACGGCCTAGATCACTGAGCCACGCTAGCTGCCAAGTTAAATGGGAAAATTATTACATTAGACGCTGTTTGAAGCTGGTGGAGCTGTATTTTTCATGAATTCAAACAAACATTTGAGGAAAATTAGACACAATTATTTGTTGTTGTTGTCAACTTTCCGCCCTCCTTTTCCCTGCAAGTTTTTTTTGTTTCGTCCGAACGGGATGTTCATCGCACAACATCTCCAACATCTCTTAGTAACAAGATTTGTCAAAAACACTCCAACTACGGTGATTAACATGATCAGAATTACATTTACAGTCCTTTTATTCAAAGTTGTTGTCAAAGACGTTATCCTCGAGGTCTTGCCTCAAATTAAGAGTAGGGGGAGAGGACAGAAATAGAATTTATTCATTTCCTACGAAAGGTAATTTCTGACGCCATTTTGTTGGTTTATCCTTTGCGCGGTGCCCCGCGAAAAATGTGCACATTTGGCTATTTCGATGGAACAAACCGCATTACTGGAGAAGGTATCCAGTTACCATCTCCTACCCCGATTATGGCTCCTGATCGAATATTAAGTAATAGACGGCTGTGGCCTTTGAAAGTTGTTATGCAGAGGCTCGCTTTGCTTTAAAAATATGCAGAAACTACAGAGGTGTAATGTAAAGAAAGGTTATCAGCTTTGTTTATTTCCTCCATAAAAGTGTAGCTATCTTTCTAAATATATGAACAAAATGGCAGAGTTATGTTTGTTTGTTTATTTGTTTTGTTTCTTTTCCAATAACCACCGTCTCAAAAACGGTAAGTTAAGACTAAATGTTGGGTAATCTTGCTTATTAATATAATGAAACGAATTTTTAGGTCACCGGCGCGTCCTCTCTGTTCACGTCACCGTCATCTTGCGATAATAGAGTCATTTCCACGTTCGTTTGTGTCTGCTCTTGTTCTACCTGTTGCTTAGCATCCTTGCTTTCCTGTGTGAAATCAAAATCCGAAAACAGAGTAGCCTGTGAAAACAGTTGACATTAGGCGATGCCGTCGAAATGACATCTGAGAAATGAGCGCAAAAATTCCGTACTGATGACGCATCACTGCCCAGATCTGGTAGTGCGTCTGATTGGCTGAAAATTTGCTCAAACCAATCAGAAGTACTACCCAGATCTGAGTAATGACGCATCATCGGTATGGAATTACTGCGTTCGTTTCTCAGACGTTATTTCGAGGGGAAACCAGTGATGGCGTCGTGAAATGTCTGCTGTTTACTCAGGCTAAAAACAAAGTTGTTTTTACAGCATTGTAACTTTTTTTTTACCGACATTGATGTAGCGGAAAAAAATATCATCGACCTGACATGCATCATCCTCTTACATTAATTATGCCATTACCTTTCCCAAGGATTTGAGGCAAGGGGATTTGAAACTGTCCTGCTGTGATAATCAAAAATAATTTACATCGCTGGAAACTGTACCCGTTCCATAAATGATCCCAACTTTTAAGATAGTTTTTCAGGGTGCTAGTAAAAAGGTTGCTTCGATTATAGCCTCTGTAGTATAACATGCTGTTAACTGAGCGCGGCTTAAACGATTCTATGAAACTGAGGCTTACTCAGCAGCCGATTATTTGTCTGCGACTTTCTCGAATACCTGAAGGGGATCATAAAAAAAATTTAAGTGACAGTAAAAGAGGTGTAGCCCTCTAAAGAAAAAGCTATATAATGAAAAAATAATTAATTATTACCGTTCCCTTCGTCATTTGATTCTCCATTGGCGCGGAAGGGGCCGTTGGCTGGTCTTCGTCAATGGTTTTGAATTCCTCATCCTGCAGAGGTAGAGCCGATAGGGTTGAATTAGACAATAAGAGAAGTTTTTTAGCTCTTTCAAGGAAAGGGTCACCAAATTTTAGTCAGTTTATAAAATGGTCGTGCCTTTCTTTTTTACATTTTGTCATCTTGTAATAACGGAGAGACTTCCGTACTCACTTGTTTCTCCTCTTCTTTATCTTGCACCTTAGAGAGAAAAAACATAGATTACAGTGTATAATTATATGAAAACCAGATTACGTATCTGGGGACTACTTGGAAAGACTCTTTGAATCCAGGCCATCCAAGGTCACTTTTTCCAGTTAAGGGATCACAGCCCAGCTTTCACGGCGAGGTCTATCCAACTATATGGCACAAGGATTTCGGGCAATCTTTTCTGATTAAAGAATGATATAATTAACAATTATTCCAAGTGCGCGTCAGATATGAGCTGGTAGATATACATGTTGGCTATAATCATCTCATATCCAACAAGCGCGAGTGGAACAATTGTTTTATTAAAAACGCCCACAAAATATCGAGAATTCTTCCCGACTTTATTTGTAAAAACAACCGATTTTCAGCTCGTTTTTAATCTTGAGCAGACGCGTACAGTATTTGAAGAGCGTGGTACAATGGCTCATATACCATGATCGCTAAGCCAATCAGAGCTCTAGAATTGCATTGTCCAATGATTCAGTTTTTAAAAATTAGTGTTATTAAAAGTGAATCCAACAGTCACCATTACAATATTCTGCATTTTTGCTTTGAGGCAGACGGAGGGGGACTTCATGTCGTTTCAAACAATCGATTAAAATATGCGGACGCCCAGGAACTAGACTTCCCTCAAATTACAACCTCTAAAAATAACTTTAGTGAAATTTACATATCCCGGCCAACGTCCTAAGATGCTCTTTCTGTCCCATATAATTCTCTCTTGGTTTACAGAGCTGAGTTGTCAGAAAGCCAACTGACGTTTGATGTCGTAGCCTGGCCAATGCTGCATTTTAAACTGTCATATCATATGCGGTAACTTTAATACTCTTTTATACTACGGGCTGTAGGGTGCTGTGGCGGGTGGCGAGCACGCGGAAATAGTCTTTAAACGGCACCGACGAGAAAAGAACGGATATGCCCGGCTCGGGTCATGATCTGTCAAAACCAATCAATAGGCAAAGCCATGTTTATCGCATACAAAAATCGTTTTATTGTCCCCCTGGACATGTTCCTTATTGGTATCAAATTATGTGATTTGACATTTGATTTGACAGCAATTTAAAGACAACTCAATCATAGCGTTTAGTTTACCCCTACCTGATTTTTGGCGTTTCCTTCATCTTTCAAACCCACTTTGTCGTCGTATATTTTGTTGAAGGCTTGGTTTGTGTAGATCTACAAGATTCAGCAACATCAAAGAGTGAAAACACCTCGCTTTGACTACTCTCATGCTACGTATAACGTCATATTTTGTTGCCACAGCAAAACGTACTAGTTATTAAAACAAACGGGTCCAAGCCAAAGCTTCTAGCTCAGCTTAGCTCCATAGCGTTCTGAAATGAGAACTTAGCCTGCGTGCTTTCCCTTCCCTTTCAAACGCCTGCCACGCAGGCTAATAAGAACTCGGAGATAGAAATTGAGGAGGACAAGTGGGGTGCGAAGCCCGGAGAATAAGGGGCAGGCGGGGTACGGAAAGCGGGAGAGGAAAGGGTGGGAGGCAGGTTCTCCAGTAGGGTGGGAAGCGGGAGAAATAAGGGGGAAATAATACGAAAATGCTTAAGAGGCTGTCCGCGTAAGAACCGATAAGGCAAATTTCGGTCCATCACGGATTGCCCTGATTTTTTCAGTGGAAGATAACTATCCTATCACATGAAGAAATATCACATTTATCTGGACCAACTCAAGTTTTTCTCTATTTTAGAGGAAGATTTTCTCGGTCACCTAAAAACCAGCCAGTTTGCTGTCGGAAGTGGTGCGATTTTGGTGAAACTTTAGGGCTCTGTCAAACCTACCTTACCTGGCAGAATAAACTGATTATATTACACACAAAAGTTTTAACTCTGGTTAATAGTTTCAAGGTTCAGTCGTTGCATTCTGTGGAAAGTTGGCTGAGATATGATTTTTTTAAAATGACCTATAATTTGCTCAGCAGGAAAAGTAATTTGCATAACTAGAGCTGAACGGTAATTTCGCAAAAGTGGCACCTGACCCAGACTCAAGGCTATGATAAATCAGAAGTACTAAGACCAGTCTACTTCTTAACGCAATAAAATTTGTGGGCACTCTTCTTTGCGTGCCGTGCAAAGTTCCGTTAATGTTACAAAATTCGCCATTTTGACAGCAAAGCCAGAATTGTAACGGGTCCGCAGTTGATCGACTAATTTCCACAGCTTTAACGTTTCTAGTTATCACTAAATGTCATTAGACCCTTTAAATGTTGGACGTTTGCAAACATGTGGAGAAAACTTAGTAATCGCTTTTCCTTGGGTCTTTTTCTTGTCGACGATGAACGTGACTTCCTTCTTCGTATGCAAATTAGCCTTAGTTCGTTGTTTCAACAAATTGACAGGAAATATAATCCTTACATTTCACATTTCTAAGGGGAAAATAACTCTCCTTTCCACAGAAAAAGAAAAATCATGACTTAAAATCCCCTTAAGGTCTGTTTTTTTTTTCTTTTTTTTTTAACGAGGAAGAAGCAGCTGAATAATATATCATGATATATGTTTGCGTGGCTTAAAATAATTCAATTGTTGTCGCCTGTCACGCATTCTTAAAGAGGGGTGGTCGATTAGAGAACAATAGCGTTGTGTCGATCAATTCTACAATATTATCATCTTTTTTAAAATGATAGTTATTGATAATAATAATAAAAAAAAGAGTTCACTAGCAAGGTAAGTCGTCTTGTCAGCACACGAAAATTTTTGGGCACTCTTTTTTGCGTGCCTTAAAAAATAGCGTTAACGTCGAAAGCTTTATTATGATATTTGCTTATCAGGAGAAGGCAGATCTTTGTACATGGCACTATGATAAAAAAAAAAAAAAAAAAAAATGCCCTACACTTTTTCTATCTTAAATTAGCAGTAAATTTCAGTTTCATTCAAAGATCTTTAAAACGTTTATCGGTAGCAGAATTGAAAGGGAAAAATAGTTCCTTTTTTCAGTGAATAAACGCAAAAGGGAGTATCTTTTTAGTTTTTGTTAAGGGTATAACATCCGAATTCCAACGATGATCTTGTTTTGGTTTCAATCTGATTGAATTATAACGCAGCAGGTGCCAATTTCAGATATTATTATGTCAATGAAATCGCCGAAGAGATCAATTGTGAAAAATGGCTTTTTCGGCTATTTCATCAAGCAGTTCTTCCGCGAGATCGTTGACAGACTGAGGTCCCAGTAGGGGTGTGGAGGAAAAAGTGTTGGTCACAGAGTGCATGGATGATATTACGTCACACTTAGCCAGCTGTCACTTGTCTAAGTGTAGCAAGTGTAGCAAAGGCAATGAAAATGAACTCATTTTAGCGAGAGTAAGTATTCGAGGCTTGGTGGGTATTCGGAACTGAAATGACAATCTGCCCACGGCACAGACACTAAATAGCCTGTGTACAGACCCCCCTCCCCTCAGGAAAAATCAGAGAAGGGGCCCCTTCTACGAGGAGGGGGGAGGTTAGTATGTACATAGGCTAACACTAAAATGACAATCTGCCAAGGCACAGACACTAAATAGCCTGTGTACAGACCCCCCTTCCCCTCAGGAAAAATCGGAGAAGGAGCCCCTTCTACGAGGAGGGGGAGGGGGGTAGTTTGTACACAGACTAACACTAAAATGACAATCTGCCCAAGGCACAGACATTAAATAGCCTGTGTACAGACCCCCTTCCCCTCAGGAAAAATCGGAGAAGGGGCTTCTTCTGCCCAAGGCACAGACACCTGCTTCGCAGGTTTTTGCGGGCGCCAAGTCTTGTTAGGCTCGATTGTCAGCCGCTGTTCTGGAAAATGAAACCCAACGGACGGGGAGACGGCGGAAATCGAGCCTAAGGTCTTGTCAATACCCCGGTCACACTCTGGATCATACTGGCAAAAGAACTTCTGTGGCAGGAAGACATGTCGTAAATTTCCAGATAGCCAGCGAAATAAGTCAAAGTTTTGTTCCATCACGTAAGTATCATTCTTTTTTCTTCTTCACGCAAAAAATTTTCTTAACGTACAGAGATATTCTAATTTCTCTATTTAACATTTTATCTTGCGATGTTTTCTGTTACAAGAAGACGAGGAGTTCGAAAGGCAAAACCTTTTTGCAGAAATCGCTGAAGAATTGAGACCACAACACCCTCAACCAGAAGTTTTCAACCTATGTGTAATGTCAAAGGATCGACGCATCTATGGTAATTTGCCTACGGAGAATGAAGTCGTGTTCTGATCGTCGACAAGGAAAAAAACCAAGAAAAAGCGATTACCAAGTTTTCTCCTCATGTTTTCAAAAGTCCAACATTTAAAGGGTCTAATGACATTTGGTGATAACTAGAAAGGTTAAAACTGTGGAAATTAGTCGATCAAATGCGGACCGTTACAATTCCAGCTTTGCTGTCAAAATGGCGAATTTTGTAACATTAACGGAACTTTGTACAGCGCGCAGAGAAGAGTGCCCACAAATTTTATTGCATTAAGAAGTAGACTGGTCTTAGTACTTCTGATTTATTATAGACTTGAGTCTGGGTCAGGTGCCACTTTTGCGAAATTACCGTTTAGCTCTAGTTATGCAAATTACTTTTCCTGCTGAGCAAATTAAAGGTCATTTTAAAAATATCATATCTCAGCCAACTTTCCACAGAATACAACCATTAAACTTCGACACTGTTAATCAGGGTTAAAACGTTTGTGTGTAAAATAATCAGTTTATTCGGCTATGTAAGGTAGGTTTGACAGAGCCCTAAAGTTTCGCCAAAATCGCACCACTTCTGACGGCAAACGGGTCAGTTTTAGGTGACCGAGAAAATCTTCCTGTAATATAGAGAAAAAATTGAGTTGGTCCAAATAAATGTGATATTTCTTCATGGGATAGGATAGTTATCTTCCACTGAAAAAATCAGGGCAATCTGTGATACACCGAAATTTGCCTTATCGGTTCTTACGCGGACAGCCTCTTAACATTTCGCAATCGAAAAAGGGGAAAACCGGGAATGTTCCTTCTCGTTTCTTAAGAGACGAATCCTTTTACTATTTTCCTTCAGTAACCCTTGGTCAAAGTACATTGTAGAATTTTTTTCATTTTCTCACCCTGTTCCTTCTACGGCGTAACCACGTCAGCAGATCCCCAAAAGGAACGTACTCTATCACTAGGAACTTTTCTTCCTGAAGCGTGCAGCAACCAACCAAGGAAACAACGTTCGGATGTGAACCCAACTGCTTCATCTGCTCGATCTCAAACTGGAATTCTTCTTTCTGTGCTGCGCTAGGATTATCTAAACAGATCAAAACGTACTGGCGCGGTACTTTTTCCGTTAAATTCGACTTCCACTTTAGAAACGGGGAGGATACTGGATCGAGTTAGCTTTCGCAAAGGCTTCTGGGATCGTTATCGGAGACGTGCAGGTCATCTATTTTTCCCCTGTCCCCAGTAACTAGCGAGTCTTGGCATCGAAGACGGCAACGGCAGCGAAAACGTCACTTTTAAACAAAAATTACCGTTTTTTCAATCTTCGTCGCGTTTATTCCAATTTGCTGAAAATGGCAAATGTTGTCGAATTTCCCTGGAGTTTATTTCTTGGGGACCGCACTCAAGTTTAGAGAGAGAAAAATAGATTCGTCGTCGCTTGTTTACGTCCTCCATAAAACTTGCAATTAGGCATTTTCACGTCCTAGTCGTGCAAGGACGGTAAAGAAATGTACGAAAAAGCGCGATGCACGTGCAGAGTTGTTGTTTTGCTCAACAAACCTATTGCTTTTTTGACGTCCTCGTTGCCGCCGCCGTCGTAGTTGCTACTTTCCCTAGGCGAAAGTTAACTGGGCCTGGTTTGCTTCTTGTTTGTAAAGTGGCCAACCCAAACATATGGATCATGTCATGCACAATGTTAGGTGTCAATAGGGAGATTAAGATTCACGTTTACGCTAAAAGGCAAACGTGAATTTGTACCACGTGACCAAGTTGTCCCCTTATTTCCCTTTTACTCTTTATTTCTTCTACACAAAAATAAGTAGTTTTATGTCCGTTTTGACCATAGGAATCATTCGGGACTGTTTTTATCTGCCTATTTTCGTATCAAGAAAAGCGACCTGAATTCGAGAACAATAGGTGTTGTTTTGTATTGTTATTTTTGACCGTTTCTTGCCTTTTAAGGACAAAAACGAGCAATGTGAAACAATAGCTTTTACGCGCGGCAAATTTCAACATTACCGATTACTTCTTTCCGATGAGATTTGAATTTTCGGCAGGACCGAAGTAAGGAGCAGTTTCACCTTAGGGGGTGGGTAGGAGTGTTAGTTGACTGGCGAAACGGGCGACGCAGTAGTGAGGGGTGAGGCAAGTTTCGAACAGACGAGATATGAGACGAATAAACCCGAAGCGTATTGTTTATTTTCCGCTTCGCTTACTGGCTGCAATTTTTAAGAAAACATACTTCATTTTTTATGGTAAACATCGTAGTAGCAATTAAAAGGAACATTAACCACGGATTGGATCGAAGGAGCCGAGAACTTACAATTCAGGTCGTTTGATCGCGGCGCTCTGATCAGTGGTTTTAACAGCCCGCTTTATATTCTGTTGCCGAGTTCGCACTGTTTGAATTATGCACCAGGAAATTGTATCCTTCGGGTAAATGACGGTTATATTTTACAGTCGTTTGTTTGAACAGAAATTAACTTCTTTGAATAAAAATCACATCCCATTGAATGCATTGAAGAACGTGAGTAAATGGTAAAGGAACAAAATAATATCTTCCAGCTCACTGCCAGCGAAGCTTAAAACACGGTTCTGTGCCCCCGATCCTTTTAAACTGATATAATTTATTGCTCTTTTCAAGCAACATTGTCGCGCTTGGAGCGTAACTTCTCTAATATGAACTCGCTGTTTACTTGTGTGATTTAAATCAAACAAAAGAAAGCTCATTTTCAGACGACGATTAATATATTGAAAAGGAACTGCAAACAAAAGACTGAAAAAATCGCACCTCCTTTCGCCTTACTGCTCACGAAGTTTAAAACACGGTTCTATGCCCCCCACCCTTGCTGATATAATTTGGGTCTTTCTGCAGGTACCGGAAAGCTTTGTATTTTTGGTCACTTGGGATTAGTCTTTATTTGGAGTTGTTTTGTTTCCTGTCTTTTATTACTTTTGTATTACGTAATCTGTGCTCCGGTACTCACAGAAGGAACCTATAATTCATTGCTCTTTTCAAGCAAAATTCTCGCGCTTGGTGCTTAAGTTCTCTAACATGAGCGCCCTGTTTACTTGTGTGATTTAAATCTATAAAAAGACAATTTTCGGATGACTATCGAAACAATGAAAGGGAACAGCAAACAAAAGACTGAAAAAAATCACACGTCCTTTCACCTCACTGCCCACGAAGTTTAAAACACGGTTTTGTGGCCCCGCCTCCCTTACTGATATAAAACAAAATAATTGATATTCACCTCTCTGAGAACAGTTTTTGCTAGAATAAAATTTTAAAGAAGGGCTCTTTTATGGCGTTTATGTTCAGTTGCAGCGGCGATATTTCATTGCGGCGTAGGCCTCAAAGTACGGACTGCGCACGCAAAATTTATACTAGGTCTCTTTCCGCGATCTTATTTCGATTTAAAGTCACAGTTTTCAAAATACAAGCTCATTGATTCACAAAACAGTTTTAAATACGCCTTCGTTTAAGTTTCTTGTAAATCATTTGCAGTGAATTTTGCTGTTAGAACTATTCACTGGTAGGGTTTGTAATTGGAGGAGGTGCAAGTTTAAAAATCACACCTTTGTGCGGTAATTATTATTCCTACAAAGCATTGTTATTGCTGAGTTGTGGTTATTCGCATAAAGCAAATGAACTTGTCTGACGTTTGCCGTTAGCGGTAAACGTGAATCTTTTGTTATGAAAGGAGCATACCAAGCATTCCTTGGTATGAGCATATCAAGAATGAGTAGTAAGAGATTGTCTCACCAATTAAAACCTTGACAGCAACCACCCGAGGCTTCTTGCTGGACAACAGTTTCCGTTTTGAAATCTCGGTGCTAAACACCTCTATCCCAACTCTTTCCCAAAGCATTGCTTTGTAAACTACACCGAATGCTCCTCGCCCCAGCTCCTCTTCGTATTCTATTTGCTCGCGAAGAATTTCCCACTCGTCCAGGGGATTGATCGGTCGCTGGAAAAGATATGATCTGAAAAAAAAAAAAAGAAAGACAATAGAACACTCTTTCTTTTGCAATCAGCTAATCTCGTACCCAGATCTCTCACGGTCAAGGGTTCAGCGTAAGACGAGGGAGATCTGGGTACGAGATTGGCAATCAAGTTCAGTACCTTATTGGTCTTAAATTTCGCGTATTTCGCGATTGTAGAAAAATCACGAAATTAAAGACCCGTGAATAAAACACGCGAACTTTAATATTCATATGAACAATTTAAATCCCAGAAAAAAAATATTAACGTGTAGTAACACCTACATATGCCAGGATATGTATCGACAAATAAGCAAATTGTTAACTGATTTTACTGGTAAGTTCCACTTTGTATGTTATGATAAGATGTTACGTTTATTTGTAAAGATTTCACATATGCCGGTAGGGAACCTTACTGACTATCATCTTGATCTGAGTCTCTAGATTCGTATAAATCCTTTATCTAGAAATAATAAATATTTCAGACTTTTTGAAAAATATATTAAAGTTGAGAACGGGTGAATCGCGAAATTTAACGCCCTTTTTCCGTAGTTGGCTATTGAAATCGAGGAAAATAAGACCCCGCGAATTTACTACCCGCGAAATTAAGTACCAATAATGTACTACATTACGTAAACATAGGTGTCGTAATTTTAGCATGTAATTTTAGCCCATAACCCGGAGCGACCAACTTCCTTACTAGGCCTATGTCACGGCGTTTTAACGGATCAGTTTATTTTTAGACACATTTTAGGGCACTTTTTTCCCACGAAAATAAAATCTCCACCATATCTATGAACGCATTCCAAGTATAAGATATCAAAAAGGCAAACTAAATGTATAAAAAGGCAGAAAATATCATTTCTAGGTCTGTAGGTTTTGCTGACTGGTTTGTGAAATTTAAAAGATAATCAAAATTCGTGGCAAAACCGTTCTAAAAATAAACTGGTCCTTTAAAACGCCGTCGCACAAGCGCATGGAAGTTGCTCGCTCCAGATTATGGGCTTCTGTTTTATGCGGTAAGCACGTAGAACTGTACAAACCCATAAACCTCCTTTTGTCGTCTCCTCCTCCTGTAGCACCAGATAAAAATAGCAGCACCCAACAGCAACGCAGTGAAGGCACCACCAACAGATAAGGGAACCACCATACTCCTGGGTTTGTTAACTGCGGAATTTTGGGATCAATTTAGGTTCCTGGGAAACTGCCCACCTACCCCTCCCCTAAGCCAACATTTTGCCCTAAGAGAGAAGAAGTAAGTGATAATTTTGGCTTAGGGAAGGGGTAGGTGGGCAGTTTCCTAGAAACATGAATTGATCCGAATTTTGCATTGAAACAGAAAAGAAAAGAGTAAAATATCTGGTCACAAAGCAATAGTTAAAGAAGCTGTGACCCCAAATTAATCAAAATTCAAACAGTGGGAACCATCACGAAACGGAGTAAAACATAAAATAAACCGCTCAAAACATCGGAAAACATGAAAACTTGACGATATCGATAACACAGCAAATACAAAAGGAGAAACGGATGGGCAAACTTGAAAAAGATTGAAACGGCTTTACAACTGTAAGCCGCTAATTATAACATTTCGTCAAAGTTCATTTTTGTTTTTTGTAACGTTTGATATGATGCTTAGAGACATATTTAATTGACACGACTCTGAAATTTTAAGTAAGTTGTAAACTAGGTATGTGAAAGGGGTACTACCAAAAGTATACGAAAATGGCTCATTAAAGGGTGAGGGGTTGGACCTTGGGGAGGAGCCTCTCTGTACAAAACTTTGGTGAGTACCCCCTCCCCCCAGCGGTCAGCAGGCCTTTTGTCCATTATGCATATCGTTATCCAATCCACTGTAAGAACACCTTAGGAATAGTGCACTTCACCACTTTAGAAACGAGGAGATTGGGCCGAAATAACTTTCGCAAAGTCTTCTGGGATTGTTGCTGTCACTGTTCCCAGTAACAGTCCCAAAAAGTCTTTGCTAAAATAAACTCGGCCCAGTTCCCTTCTCGATGCTAAAGTGGCGAATGACAAACGCAAATTATTTTTTACAACACGTCTTTGGCATACTAAAAAATATAGTATTTCTCTTTTACTAACCTTTATTGCATAAACTTCCTTCGCAGCAGTGTATTACGTTTCCATCCTCCGCGATTTTATTGCAATATTGTGGTTGAATGCATCCATATTTATTGTAAATAAAAGAATCTTGTTGCTTTCCAGAGTAATAACACTTTCCATCGTTGAAAATGCACCGACCTACTGCGCATTCTTTAAACGTTACAGGATCTGTACATTCGTAGCACCGCGGACCTGAGTCTAAAATAGCGACGAAATACATTTTTTAAAAAGGGTCACTGTCTAACTGAGATGAAGAAAAAGTGGATTTTTCGGCGAGTTTTTTTTTTCGCCTTAGCCTAGTGCAAGAATTGGGAGGAAAGTAACCGCATAAGGTTGCGTTCTTTAGGGATGTTCCGGATCAGGATCTGTGACCCGAGATCATTCCGATCATAATGCATCAAAGCAACCGATGAATCCTTGTCCAAAGTGGATTCATTGGTTCCGCCGATGCATCATTACGAGTTACTTAGATCAATCATCTGGATAATGGTCCCAAAGGATTCCATCTCAAGTCTTCTTTCCCCCACTTCCTGCTTCTCCACAATATTTTCTTTTCCCACAACCTCCTCCACTACATTTCTATTGTTTTCCCTTCGCCGCCTCTGCCACCACTACCACTACATTCTAATGACTGAATTGTGGAGAAGAAGGAAGGGAGAGGGGTAGGAAAAATGCGTTCCGTGTTAGAAAGAGCTATTTTTAATTACCTTCGCCCTCAATAATCTGCACCATTTTCGTGACGAGAATCGGTGAACCAGAGCTGGAACAATTCGTTTTCCTCAATGGACAATGAGAGCGACAGGAAATGAACTTGTATAATTACGTTACGACTCAGTGATATTATATAGAGAGCTTTAGATTTGAGGACGAGGACGAGTACGAGTACGAGATTTAATAACGACATTCTCGCTAAAACTCGTAGTAGATTGACGACAGCTATCACGTTTTCTCGCCACAGTGATGCTGGTTCATGCATGAGCAATACCCAGAAGGTCTCTATTGAACTCATGATATAAAGACAAAAGTCTAAGCTGTTATTGGCGTAAATGTATTCCCCCGCAACTTACTGAGATTTCTCCCGCAAAAATGAAGTCTTAAACATCCCTACTACACTATTTACGGCTAGGCTGCCTCTTTTTAAACAAGACTCAAACTGTGAAAACCTCGTTCAAGGGTCTTCTCGTTTTCCAATATGCCGCCGCCATTTGAAAACGAGAAGTCCCTGGGAACGAGATTGAAAAGTATGCTACTTTGTAAGATAAAAAATAATTTCTTCTTACTTGTATTACACTTGTCGCCTTTGCAGCAATCTACAATCTTTCCACTGGTCGCATTACACTGATCTTTGGTAACACATCCCTTGCGATAAGTCGTTTGTATTTTGCCCTCTCTTGTTGTCGATTCATACTTAATTTTTGCGCAGTAGTGAACAGGTATGGGGCAATCTACGTCGACTTGGTTTTTTTGGCATTCGTCAAGAGATGAACTGTTTTCACATCGATAGCAGGATATTGCTGAAACGGAGAAAAACAACAATTTCGAACAATTAGACCTAGAAATTTGCGCCGAAATCACTAACCCTAGTCACTTTTACTGATAAATATATGTTATTTCCCTTTAAGAAAGGATAACATTCGGGGACTTTTTATTTTCATTTTAAGAACTTTTTTATATGTCGCAGATCATTCATAAATAATTATTATAAAATAAATAAATACTGATAACTATATAGTGAAAATCAGTGTAATATTTCCCTGGTGGTCACTATGTCATCATTTTGGTATCTATCTGTTGATTTTGAATCAATTTAGTCCTGCTTTCAAACTTTTCTAAACATGATGAAAGTCATCAAGACGATGACGCGGCCATTAATCAGAGGGATGACGTAACCTATATGTCATATCACATCATTACGTCTCTTAACTTCTCTAACCCTAGACATTTTTTTTTTATTTGATTGACACGCTGATGATTTGCCAAAAACAATTTAAAATCTTCCATCACTGCACTTAACAAATAAAGAAGCTTTGATTGTGCTTTGTTCTGTTGTAAAGCGCTCAGGAAGAGGCACAAAAGATGTGTAGGGGGAATACGAGACGTAAAACAAACTATATTGGCAGGGCGTGACAGCCTTAGCTCCGTCTTTTAGGCTCTCATAAAGCATGCGCGCTTTTTCAACCTACCAGAGTGCGCTTTGAGCTTTATTATGAAAATTATTGTTTCCACTAGGTTCCAGAACAACCGAACGCGAGGTCAGACTGGTTCCATGTATTGAGCACTGCATCCAAACTGTAATTAGGGCTTCAATTTTGATAGTCTTTCTCGCCTCACCTGTATTACACAAATCACCATGGCAACATTCCAAGCCTTTTCGGTTGTCAAGTTGTCTGCATAGTTCAGCTGATATACACCCTAGTGCAGTGAATTGCCCATCTTTCACGCTCTTATTACTGTACTTAAAACAGAGACTTTTTGGAAATGAGCAATTGACTTCAGTGGGAACAGATGACATTTGCCCTGGGCACTGATAATGACAAACTTTCCCTAAAGGAAAAAGCAACGTTTCTTTTAATTCTGGACTAAAGACGTTAACACATTGCCAAGGCCCGGGGAGGAGAGGGGAAAGTACTTAACAAAATTTTATACGGGGAAGCTATGCCCTGAGGTCCAACCCCTTACCCTTTTATGTACTAATTTTTGACAAAAAAGGGACCCCTTTCGCATATCTTTAATTGAAAAATGGCACCCCTTTTACATACCAATTTAGAAAGCTGCATCTTTTTTAACTGCTGTAAATGTACGGCCTTTAAGCTATGAACAAGTCGCTAAACCAGAAAGTTTTCTTGTTTTTTCACAGCCATAAAATGCGCCTGGGACCGCAATGACAGATTTCCCGCACGTTTTACATACTTTAACAAGAGTAACCCCTACCCTTTGATACACCTGAAGCCTGAAAAAGGGGAGCACCCCTTTCTGGCGGAGCCTCCCCATATAGGCCATTTTAGCAAGTACCCTCGGATACCAAGGTTACTGACTGTTTGAAAAGGAATTTTGAAAATAATTAACATAGGCAACAGAAAAGTTTTTTCTTCTTTTTATCTGAGCAGGGTCTGAGATACTTTTTGGTTTTGTGCAGTTTTTGACCGGCGTAAAGAGCCGCGATGAAAGTTTATATAAAAATAATGGTAAGAAGACCTTACTTTCCTCATTTTTTTTTTTAATTAAAGCTACTTAATTCGTAGCCTTCAAATGGAAGTGTGCCACCATAATGAAATCACACCTGGGACGGGCTTTTCACAAAGATAAGCATGCGTTTGGCCACAGTCACGGTCTGTCTTTCCATCATCTGTCTTCGGGATTATGAAACACGGTTTAGAGTTGGTTCCTTCAGGGTCGATCCAAATGTCCTTTAAAATAAAAAAGAAAAACAGCAACTAACGAATGATGTCAGTAATAATAATAATGATGATGATGATCATGATCATGATGATAATGTACTAACTATAGTTCTTTCCGTTTCTTTACCCTAAGCCACCGACGTTTCATTGTCTCCTGGCTTGCTCTAATTTTTCAAAAGGTGAATAACTAAACACTAAGCACCTTTTGAAAAAATAGGGGCCTGATAACAGCGATGAGCAATCATAGAACATCATGTGAAGCTTGTCTAGGACCTGTTTCTATCACTGAACAGCGGTTGAGTCCACATTCATGCTAGTTAGTCTGTGATTGATTATAAAATGTCATAAGGCGTCCCTCTACCCTCTGCGTGTATAGGTTCTCAGTCGGGTATGCTAACAGGTAAAGATTTAGAGGCATTTAGTACCTCTACAAAATATTTCACCATTTATGATTGGCTGATCAATTTTCCATGTATTTTCTCATAATCAGCAGAAGCCTACCATATTTGCGAAATATAGGAAAAAACCAACCAATTCAATCAGGGTCATAGCCCTCCTCGATATGCATAATTGTTGTTATCATACTCAGCTTTATTCAGTAACTGACAAATACTATATTTTTTATATCCATATTTGTTTATGGTGCTACCTGTTTTTTGGTCACTCTTACTTAATTCAGCTACCTTTTTGAAATTAATAGTGTCCAACAGGCGGATCAGGAATCCCGTGTCATTTTTGTTAGTACCATTTATTTTCACCAAATTGCTTCCAGAAGCAGTGCAGTCCTCTTTTGCGTTTTCCCATGTTTTTGAAGTCCAGTGCGTATAGTAGCAAGATAATCCATTCAGGTGTCCTTCATTATGATCAGGGCAACTCAATGGACCTAATGGATAGGAAAAATTAAATATAACGATTTCCAATGAATGTCGTTTAATTTTTAGAGCCGCCTGTGTCACCTAGTGACTGAAAAATATCTTTCTCATGAATTTACCAGGCTTAAAATTCACCGTCACATCTCCATCATTGCGTATAAGCACATATCGAGATTACAGTGCTTGAAGTATGCAGGATGTTTGTCAGGGACACCCAACGACGGTTTCCTCCTAAATACATTGACGACACTTGTTGGCTATCCAGAGCACCTTTAGACCTTTATAAGTGCATTCTAAGCGGCTCTATAAAATTTTTATCTGTTCGATCATCCCAGGGGAACGTGAATCTTTCGAACAGTACAAGGGCTTCAGTACATTATTTTCCCGAACATTTGAAAAGCGATTTAACGTATTTTGGATCCGAAAATTGTAGATTTTCTTTTTTCTCCGAAAAATAGCCTAGCCTGGGGAGTGAAATGTGAAAACTTTAACGTCAGAAAATCGTAGGGAATTTATTGGACAAGCTTCGAAAATTGTTTATGAATGGAACGTTCATCTAGAAATTTTTAGCCGTCCCCAAGTGACAGAAAATTGGAGCCAATATTTGCTTCTCCGAAAGAGATATTTTGCAGACTGAAACATTCGCTGAGTGCCCCTGGTTTGTCGCATGACCCTAGTTTAGTGGCCTTAGCACTCATGAGTATCCGGTAGCTCAGTGATAGAGCATCTGTACTAGCAACCAGAAGCTCATAGGTTCTACTGCTTTTTTGGAGTACTCAGATTTTTTTCTTTCGAGCCGCCTTTGTTACCAAAGAAAAAGAAGAACATCTTTCTCATAGATCCTTATCATCATGTTCCTAGTAAAATCTGTAACTATGTAGTCGATAACTCAACCAGCCACACTATCCATCGGATAGAGAATTATCCGTAGGGTAGGGTTAGTTAATTTTTGAACAACTGGCGTCAGAGCCTGCATGAATTTCAGTCGTTTTATCACGTCTCCCTCGGCAGAAAGGCCTCTCTCCTCCGTAGAAGCCTCTTTGTGTTGTGGAAAGGTTTGTCAGAAAGGAAAAGAGAGCGCGCATCCATTCCATCTTCCCCCGCGCGAATCATATAACTTTCATTTTCATAAAAGCGATGTCACATGACCTCTTAGCGCAAATGGCCTATTACTTTGGCTTTATCAGATCCTTTTGGCAAACATTTCTGTGCATTGTTGTCAATTGTATATAGGCCTGGTTACTTTCTTCACGTATTTAGAAGCAACTCACCTTTCGGTTTTTCACAGATGCAGTACTCGGTTTCCTTGCAACATTCAGTAAGGTTCCAGCCATATCTGAGTAGTTCCACACATTTGGTGCCATTCCCATTAAGCTTACTTGTTGTATTTCCACACCAGTTGACAGATAAAGAAGGATTAAAAGAACTTCCATCGTTCCATGAATATATATCCTTCGGAAGCCGATGAACCAACCCAATCCAAGCAGATTGGTTTTTTAACCTCGGAGACGACAGTTCATGAACAAATTGCTTTTCCTTTTCACTTATCATGCTAACAAGATAACCTCCATACCCCAAACACACGCGAGACGCTTTTAACCAACCTCCGAATATCTTGGAACTTTCATTTTTTTTCATCACCTTGTAGCAAGAACGTTGAAACTCAATCCAATCATCAGGGCAACGTAAAGCTAAAGAAAAATGAACAAATTAAGATTAATAAAGTGATCTTCGTCTCTGGAGATAAATTTCTGCCATTTCCTTATTTCAAATCGAGAAGGGATGGGTACAAGCCGGTTTTTTATGGGTTAAACAACACCAGACCCACATACTCAGAAAGAGCACATTGAAAAACCTCTTTTCTGCCTGCCAGCTGGTAGTCTATCACGCACCCGTTATTTATTCACCTTTTCTAGACTTAAATTTTTAATTATTTCTAAACAGTTGTAAATTTTGTTCTTTCTGGCCTTTTTAACACTTAGATAGAGTCTATTTGTAAGCTATTGTATATTGTAAGGCAGGTTTTATCTCTGTGAGGCACTATAGGGCATTATTATTCATTCAAAATATTTCCCCAATTCTGATTGGCTTAAGGCACACGCATAATTCACCATAACCAGTTACTGATGACCAAATTTTTGAAGAATTTTGTGTTTAACGAGGAAATGACGTCAAAAATGCAGCCTTCTACAGGTTAATGCACCGTTAACCGAGAAGACCTGGGGACGAGGTTGAGTTGTTTTCGTTGTGAAAACTAAAATGGCGGACACTTCACTCGTTTCAAGAGTAAGAACTACAGCTGGAACTAGGCGAAATAATGGCTAAAAACATAGCAAAAACAGCAAGACGACCACTCGGAGGCGACATATGCTATCTGGAGAATTTTTGCGGAGCTGGACAAACCTAAACGTACACTATCGAAGATAAACTTCAGATCGATGCAGGTAAGCAAGTTTTAGCTATGTTATTAAACTAGGAATTATTTTGAATGAATAATAAAGCAATTAATGAATTCGGCTTTCGTAGGACGTGAAGAATTAAGCAGATCTCGGAGGGTGTTGTCCACCTCAGCCTTCGGCCTCTGTGGATAACACCCTCCTCGAACTGCTTAATTCTTCATATCCTACTCTACTCAGCCTCATTCATAAATTGCTAATTATTTTCATCGATATAGTGCTATAGAAGTAAATAATTATAACTATCATTGTTTTGTTTCGAGTAATTTGTTGTTTTATTTACCGGCTGGTGATTGGCCCACAACCAACTTTCCCGGAATAAATTGTTATTTTATTTTTATTTAGGTTTAGCCAGGGTTAAAAGGGAAGCTCTTGATAATATTTAAAGTTTGTCCAAACAAAGTATAGAATCGTGTAATGGCAAGCGGGGAAGGCAACGCCGGAGAACGGTGAAAAACAACAATAGGTCTAATTAGCAAAAAAGCCAGTTTGCACGAGGAGCACAATTTTTTTGTACATTTCTTTGCCGTTGTTTTGCACGATTACAATGTGAAACTTCCAGAAACTTCTTTGTTACATGTTTTTTGGAATTGGAGGAAATGTCGAACGTGTTTTCATTCACTTTTTTTTCACTGCCGCTCATTTTCACTTTGCATTGGTGGACGCTAGCATTTCTCATTTTGTCACCGCCGCTACAAAGTTTTCATGTTGTTCTTCCAACAAAAAAATGTCTCCTTTGTTTTTCTTCTCTTTGAGCTTCGCTGGCCTGCCGCCTGCTTTCTCTTTTTCTCTGTCTTTCTCTTGCTCTCTATTCCAAATTTGTAGACGTGACAATTAATCTATTAAGCTTAGTACTTTAGACACCACGGATACAGAAACAATCTCCGCTTTCCGTTTTCGTTTTTATTGACTCTTTAGTTGTCTCTGCTTTTCAAGACGCCGGTGTTTATGCGATTTCCGGCCAAAATAACTTTGGTTGCCATACCTGTTGATTGAGTTATTTTATACATTGGTATGCCTGTGGTGCGGATGGACGGGCGCCCGGTCGCTCGGTGTACGGTCACGTGATTACCAAATTGTCTAGGATGGGTAGATTTACTTAGCCATGGAGCTCCGCTATAATCCGATTGGTCAATTTTCTCTAAGTGGCCCCGGTTACAGTAGTCGCACTGTAATTACAGGGCTTGTACATATCTGGACGTTTTACCCCAAAGTGAGGACGAAATGGCGATTTGTAACATGAGTTAAATCATACTGATCATATTATAAGTGGGTATGCAAAATCGAATAAAGAATGCAAATAATTCACCATTTTCACATTGCCCATCATACAACATAGGCATCGTCTTCAATTTCTCTTGGGACGACTATGATCTATGATAAAGCCTTTTCGCTCACATGGCCAGTATCAATCCAAAATTATTAGAACAAAAGAAAGCGTTCAACTACCGCTGGATTGGTTTGGAACACCAACATGGCCGCCGTGACGTCATGTGTAAACGCTCTGAACAATGTTATGCAAATTTCTCTTTTTTGGGGGGGGGGGGGGGAGGTGGAGAGGGGGTGCGGGAGAGGTGAACAAGGGACAGGGTTATAACAAGTTGGAATATGACTTACCAGCATGAGATATAGTTGTCACGAGCAAGAGTGAGACGAAGAAGTGTATATTGGGCATTGTGACTCAGATCTAAGGTGAGAAACAAAGAATTTTTATAATAAGCAGGAGTCCATAACCCGGAGCGAGCAACTCCCATACTAGGTCTATGTCACGGCGTTTTTAGGGACCAGTTTAATTTATTTTTAAACACATTTTAGGGCACTTTTTCCGGCGAAAATAGAATCTCTACCAAGTCTATGAGCGCGTTCGAAGTATAAGATATAAAAAAAGAAAACTAAATGTTATTAAAAGGCAAAAAATATCATTTTTAGGTCTGTAGATTTTGCTGACTAGTTTGTGGAGTTTACCAAATATTCAAAATTCGCGCCAAAAGCGTTCTAAAAACAAACTGGTCCGTGAAAACGCCATGACACAAGCGCATGGAAGTTGCTCGCTCAGGATTATGGGTTCCTGTATGGTTGCTATACATGTGTGATATTTTACTTTAACAAGTGACGCCATGTTATTGCATTTTAGGTGCGCACTAATTTCGGGGTACTCATCCCACAATGACGGTCAATATGAAAATCGCAGCAAAAGTCATGTGCGGCCTTTCGACCGTTACTGCGACGCAAGGAAAAAGTTAGTTGATCGTCAGCCTAAGCTATTCAAATTGACTATCGCAAAACCGAGTTTTTCACGAAGCCACTACAGCGATAATTTTCCTTGTCTGCGGTCGGTCTCATTGCAGCTTTTTGTTTTTAGACTTTGGTGTTACAAACTGGATATTATGCTTTGATATGGTTAGAAACAGCAGCTGCTGCAAATACAGTTTCAAAATTAAATTGCATGAAATCCTAGTCAAGGTCGTGGGAAAAGATCAAAAGAAAAGAACATAAGGATTTCAGTAAGACCCAGTAAGAGTTGGTGAAGAAGTTTGTATTTTTGCAGACCAGTTGTCATTAGAGCAGTTTTCACGCACGTGCCCAGCATTTATGCAAATAAATTGCAACAAAAGAAAGCGTTTACATAAGGAAAGAGTTCAACTCCCACAGTATTGGTTGGGAACACAAACATGGCCGCCGTTCCAGTGTTCTAGAACACCAATACGGCCGCCGTGACGTCATGTGAAAACGCTGAATCACCTTTACGGTGCTCGTAACGCGACCACTGAAGATTTCCTTTAACTCGCTGTGAACTGTTTTTTATATCTACAACAAACAAAAATTATATTTTTTTACGCCTGTTATACAAAATAGGAATTGTTCGGACAGTTTTTGTCCACCAATTTCCTAATTTGAGAAAATCTTTAACCTAAGATTGACGTTTGTCGTGAAAGTATGTCTCCCCAACTGATCGATGAATTTCATATCATCATTTCAACATAATATGTAATGTTTTATCCTCTCTTTTAAAAGATAACAAAGTTTGCACCTTTTATCGTTTAATCCACAGATCTCTGGAATAGAAAGGAAAGTTTCAAAACCAAAAATCTCAAGCAGAATGTTTTTGCAGGGACTAAGAGATATCAAGAAAACCACAAGTACACCACCTGATTATATAGAGAACGTTTGTCAAGTTAAGTGGAAGAGTCCAATGTCGTCAACCAGTGGAGTTGTTCAGGGCCCTAACTTTGCAGCAGTCACCTGTTGTACAAGGAAGTAATAACGGAGTTAAGAAAACGACAAGACGGATCTGGATCTTGCTTCTATTTTTAGGAAAGTTGCTTCTTAATTTTTTTGATAAAATTGGATATCAAAGTTCTCAAAACACGAAACGGCTTTACTTAATTCAGCATGATAGATCGTTGAATGCGGGTCAGTGTTCTAAATTTTGCTTGCGCCAAGTGTTCGTTTGTCGATCGCATTTTGATTCTGAAATTGGAGAAACAACTGCTTTCTTAAATTTATGCAGAGAGCAGTGTAAATCAACCTGTCAGTTTTTACCAAGTAAAATTTTAAAACTTTTTAATAGTAGGCAATGATAAAGCGAGTCAGAAAGGTCGCTACTAACAATTATCCCAGCAAGGAAATGCAAAATCATAAATTCATTCATTCCAAATAAATAAAAACAAAGACATGGAGATTACTTGCATCATGAGCGAGTATCAAGCAATCGATTCTTCTCATCGTGATTATTGCATGCCTAAAGCAACTCCAGGGAATTTCGTTTACGAGCTGTTTGGCGAAATATTTTCTCGGTGACTAACATATCTTCTCTAACGAAATTTGTTTGATAGATTCAAGAAAAAAATTCACAGGGTTTGATAGATTTTGCTCCTTGAATTCGAAATTTCAAAGTTAACACTGCAGATTAGGCGGAACACTCGGTCCCTTCCTAATCGAAATGGGGCTCACTTTTTGAAAGTTTTATTACTTCCTCCGTTTTTTCGACCAGCACTGGCGAGGGCTCTTACACCTCCTCCTACTATTAAAAAAGGCACTTCATTTGGTGTTCATATACATAGCACGAAAATGCTAATTGCCGAACACTAACTTGACGCTGTGTTACGCGGACAATCGAGCCACGCGAAGGTCTGGCCGTTTGCAGGGCAAAGGGAATACCTTCATTTCTCAGTGACTCTGACTGCAGTAATGGACCATCTACCGACTGACCTAGTTCTGCAGTTAAAACGGAAAAGACCGGGAAAGATCTTAGTCAGTTAGTGCTCTGCCGGGCAGGTTCAAACCAGCGTCCACTCACTTAGCAGAGGGATACTTCATCAGCTGCGCTACTCGGGTGATGCAAAACCGCCACTTTTACTTTAGAGTAAAATTTTTGTATTCAAAAATGTGATGGAGAGAGAAATAAAAAAATTTCACTTTCGTAAAACGTTAAAAATAGCCTAACCTGGGGAGTAAAATGTGAAAACTTGAAATTCAGAAAATCGCAGGGAATTTAACAGGAATGGAAAGCTCATTCGGAAATTTTTAGCCCTCCACAAGCCACAGAAAACCCTAGGCAACATTTGCTTCTCCGAACAGTTGCCCTTGCTGGGGCTTCAGTGTTCAAAACTAGAATTCCTGTTAGTTTGTCCTTTGTGTCTCCAGCCCTGAATGCACAAATAAACGAAGTTTTTTTTTTAATTTTTACCTGTAACTTACTATTTAATTTCATAGTATACTGTTAGTACTTACCAGAATTGTGACGTTGTCAGAGAAAGATTAACGCGACAAAAAATCCATCGCTTTTTGTCGCCGCTTAGTCAGTTTCAGTAGTCGACCATAAAACATCAGTCATGAAAGGTTTAATGAATTACATTTGTCAAACAAACTGCAGTTGCCTATTTGCGACCAGATGGCTGAATTTAACACTTTATACCCATTAGAACAGGATCGGAAATTATAAATGAAGAGTAGTCTACTAAGTTGGAAATTAAGCCTCATTTTGGACTTCCCTTAATTAATATGTATAACTGTCGAGTCCATGCATGACGTCACCCATTGTTATAAACTAGGGAAAAAGTGCCTTCCTCCATACTAATAAGGGTCTTTCTGCATACTGATTCGGTATATAGGATTACTAATGAGCGAATACTACAATAGGCACAACAGGCTTGCCTCGGCTTGCCCGTTAAGTAACTTGAGCCCGGTTTTCGGACCGTCTATTAAAAGGAAAATAAGAATAAGAAAACGAATCTCGTAGCAACGCGAGAAACGGCTTTCTATATCTCATTTAGCGCTAAAACTCAGATATATAAACAAAAGACAAACAGAAAGTGGAGTTGAAAAGTCTTTATTTCAGTTTAGTTTATGTCTTCGTATTTAGCTCTAAAACTCGGATATATATGAACAAAACACATCTACACAAAGTGGAGCTAAAAACTCTATTTCAATTTTGTCTGACTATTGCAAAACCTTTTTCTCCGTTCTATCTCGAGGAAATGAAAAACTATTAAAGTCTCAGAGTTACACGCACCGTTAGTCAGTTAATTATGCGAGTTCATAAGCCCGAAAGTTGAATACAAATTAGTTCATCTCTACAGCTAGACCCAAGGGAGCACCTTGACGTATTATTATACAAACAATTTTAAATAACTTAACAAGGATCAATTAAAAAACGCGACTAATAATTGCTAGCAATAAAACCACAATGGCAATAGACGGTAAAGTTCTCTCGCAGAAGTAACAGGATTTTGCAATGAAATAAACAACATTTGAAGCGTCCAGAAATTTTAGTCTTTTAATCAGTCAAACCGTGAGGCCCACAGCTCAGTGTCGGCCGAAAACAGATTAAGAATCCACAATCTTTGAGCACAGAATAGGCTTTCTAAGACAAAATCACCTGAACTAAACACTCACGAAGCGTTTTTATGCTTGACACAAAGTATTCTAGTAACACAAGCTCAACCGCACATACCTGAGATTTGCACTTTCGGTAAATCACACAATAAATGACTTTCGCGGCAATCACAACACTTCCCAAAACCACTCATAATTTCTCCACACTTAACACGGGCGAAACATCGTCAAATTACTCCGTAAAACTCTCACTTTCTCCACATAAATCGTCACATGGAACTTTTCTCGACTCACTGACAGTCGATTTATTCAAGATCCCGGATGTAAACCAGCGGTTGAAAAGGAGACATACAGCACCCGCCTTCCAAACAATTTTTTACCAAGTCTTTGGCCTGGTCAGAAATCAGCATGAATTTCCATCTTGCCTAATAGATTTCAACCCTAGAACCTACTTTGTGAGGCCAAAGACTTGTTACTGCCAACAACAAAGCTCGCAATATCCAATTTTTCCGTCTCAAGCCCGGAATCAGTCTATCACCCGTGTAGCCCGAAATGAGACGAAATACCAGAAGATATTGGACGCAGCAGACTTTGCTAGACGTGAGAGTTGTTCCTTCATAAGGCTTAATGATGCCTTCCGGAAAACTTTGCTCAAGGCGGCCAAAAAACTCTAAGACAACCCACTATGAGAGCCGAGCTCAGTCTAATACGCGCGCTGATTTCAAAGTGACATACAGAGAGAGTTCTGGGAAGTTATGAAAAACATTTTTTTTGGGGGGGGGTAATAGGTTAATAGCGAGAGAGAAACTCATCAAAGTGCTCCACTACAGGACTCAGTCAAAGGGTATTAAAGTGACCTTTGATCGTGTCCCTTGGTTTGGGCGCCTGTTGAAAATTTGGGTGACGTCATCCAATTCTGGCCCGGACTGGAGAAAAAGAAAGAGCGAGGAGGAAGAAAGGAGGAGAGGAGAAAAAAGCAATGGTTGTACTTTTTGTTTTTATAATATGGCTACTTTGGAGTTTTTGGCCGAAAAAATGCTGCTGGATGGAAAAGGTCCATTCGCTGGTAACCTTTTCATAAACCGTCTAGAAGATTCTGTAATGAATTCTGCCAATCTTTCAAAATGTACCATTTTGAAGTGGCAAACGACGTTTCATGCCAATTGGAATCAATGCTGCTCATTTCGCACACTCTTCTAGTCAGTTTTGTACAAGACTTGTATGCTGAATGTTTAAAATAATATAAATTATTTATTTTATTTATGCTATTTTCTGTGCAGTGATTTAGTATTGTTTCGGTCGATAGCCGCATTACAAGTGGCCGCCATCAAAAATTTGTTTCACTTCTACTCATTTCCAACATCTCTCGGCCAAATTTACTTTGTTTTGGTTTTGATCTCAACCAATCACAACGCACGATACCTATGTCCAGAAATGGATATCTCCCGGACTGGTTATCGGGAGTCGACTGTATATAAACTTATTGGATGTCAGAGCTCCATGTGCAGTCGGTGGCTGTGACATTCTACTCGTGATGAACCGAGCATTGAAAGTTCGTCTTTTGTGTTTGGAGATAAAATAATTAAGTCCAGATTTGTTCAATCTAGAACTTAGATAAGAGTTGTTTTCGACTTTTTGGTAGTCAGGTTCTAATCCTCTGGTACGACAATAACAGGGTTTCGAATTAATGCCTCCGAAGTTTTTTATGGAAAATATCTGGCTTAGTATGTTCCTCATTTTGCTCTCAGGAACTCAATCATTTAATTTACTTTACAGAGTCTCATTCAGTTTCTTGTTCTTCAATCAAAATCTCAGCCGCAGAGAGACGGTAAACATTAAACTTCTCCCCGCCAATTCGTTTATTGTACGACAGTACAGGGTTATTAACCAGGGTTATTGGCCTATCCTTTTCCTGCACCCACGCCCACTGCTCATCCAAAAAACAATGCTTCTGTAAATCAAAACATGGAGGTCGACATGACTGAATCTGTCATTAAGTTCTCCAGGTGTGACAAAATTGACCTTCCAATTAAAAAATCCCAGCTACGCCACAGACGGAACTATTTTAACCTATTTTAGAGCCCTGCATAAAGGAGTAACGAGTTCCTTTTAGATTATTAAATCGCACTTTTCATTTACTGATTCCCCACCCCTAAACTTAGATTTTGACCTTCGTTTACTTCATTTCTTTACAAACATTTTCTTTCTCAGAATGTCAGAACTACTAAAGCCTTAATGCCGCAGACAGAAAGATACCCTACACCCCCCACGGGTATTGTGGCTACTCTATCAGTAAAGGCTGGTATCGTTTTGAAGGGGCTGCGGGAACCAGGCTGCCTACTTCATGTACGCCTGATTACAGGTGTGGTACTAGCGCGACGAGTTGGCTGACTAATGGACATCCCAGTGTGGCTGATGGCCGAGTCAGTAAACGAGTCTGTTTCAGTTACAACGGAGACTGCTACTATTACAGATGTGTAAATATCATAATAAGGAACTGTGGCTCCTATTATGTTTACGAACTTGATAGAACCCCTAGTTGCAGTTACCGCTACTGTGGCACTGACTAAACCAAATTAGTATATACACACTCAGTGATCTTGGTGATTTAAGCAATCTGATTGGTTCGCTATCTCAGACTATTCAACAATATTCACCTCCTAGCGAGTGGATAATGTGTGAGCTCGGTGTTTTTCCCGTTTTTTTTAGAGAACGATCTTTTAAAAGTCGACAAAATCCTAGGGCTGACTTTTTTTAAGGCAAGAAAAGACTTGGAAGGATTCAATACGGCGTTTTTCAATTTACTGTAGCAGGAGTTTTGTGCTCGATGGATTGTTTACAACTCCCGTGTATTCGCGTAGAAGAAGCCGTTTCGTGAACTCAGCGTTTTCTAAGAAGAAAATTTTGGCTCGAAAATCGAGGTTTATTTATGACAAACAAATTTAAAAGGAAATGTTTGCAGAAATTCTACATTTCAAGTAAACAGGAAAAAGAATGATACAGGAAGACGACCTCTTACCTCGAGCAACCGAGCCGCCATTTTTGTCAGCACTTCATGCGAAGAACGACACAACATGCCCTTTTGGCTATAAACTTGGCGAGTCAACAGAAAACAACACAGCTCTACTTTTTTTCTCAGGTAAGGAAACAGTTCAAACTTTTAGCGATTCCATCGAAGCCATTACGCTGTTGTTTGCGAAATGAGTAAACTTGTGAATTGCCATGTTTGAAAATTCTGCAAAGATCTATTTTTAAACTTACGCGTGATTTGATCTGTCAATCAAATCCTACTTTTGAATGGTTTCCTTTCTGATTTTGTTGAGATCACTTCGTGTTTATATACTAAAACAATAATTCTTCTCAATCTCGGTGAATAGTGGCTTTGGGAATATTTACCTCGCCGCTTTCGCGGCTCGGTAAATATTTTGCCACTATTCACCTCGATTTCAAAGAATAATTGTTAATTATAGTGAATCCATGCTGGGAGACTACAGTAGGATAATTTTTCGTGTCGAGCCATTACAAAAAGTGGCTAACTTGATTTCACTTTAGTTAAGCGCTGAACTCTGTAGATTGCATTAACTAATGATTCAGCCCCTGTCAGTAGTATGCTATGAACACTCGTTAAAACATAACGTCACGCCTCGAGAAATTCGATGTTGTATTCAAAAAGACCAGATAAAAAGAAGAAGAAAAATCAAAATTCTGCTGGTCGTAACGATAATGCACTTTTTTGCGTCCTTAGTCATGGATAAAACTAATGAAACCCTCGGACGCACGGGGGGAGGGGATGAATAGGCTTTTGTACATTATGCTTTTGCTTCCCCACTAAAATGCTCTACCTTAATGCTCCATTTTTCCCACTAAAATGCTCGGTCTCCCCAAAAAAGTCACTAAAATGCTCAGATAATGCTCATTATACAAACGGTTTTTTAAATTAATCTTAAAGTTTACACTTACAAAAACGTGCAAGTGTTGCAAGTAACAACGACAAC